AATAAAGCTTACTAATAGTTTTATTTTTAAAAAAGTACTTCTAATCTAAATGATATCAGGTGGCTTGAAAAACATAGAGTTTTACATGATGAATTCTAAAGCTTGAACTTGTATTTTTCAGTTGGATTATCAACGCTCCGAAAAAAATTAATAATTGTACATTTTCATTATAGATTTGCAAAGGAAAATGCAGTTTTAAAATATAATTAGGCCAAGGAATGAAATATCTCATTTTTATCAGATATTATATGCTCTATAATACAGAGGGTAAAATAAATTAGTAGTAGTAGCAGTAGTAGTAGTAGTGGTTTCTGGTGGTAGTAGTAGTATTTTGTTCTAATTTGTGTATTAGATGCCTTGATCATGATTCACTTATATTTAATGCAATTGTTTATCAAGTCTCTCTTTTAACATAGTTTAGGTTTTGTTATATTAAATGTCAGATATTAAAGTTTCTGATCAACATCTTTTTGTTCTTCCATGCCTGAAACTTCATATTCTTTGCTATTATAAATTTACATTGACATACTTGTATATTTACGGCAGACGAAGACCTCGCTAAGAAAGTTAACGAGCAGAAGCAAAAGTGTGTTACGCCGCCTCCATAAAATAAATAATCAAACGTTAACCATATAATATGCTAATATAATAATCTAACTTCACGGTAATTTAAGCTCTTTACTGACCTAGATATGTCTGAAACCCCAGAAAGTTGTCCATTATCACCAGTTTTGTTTGTTATCCAGCTTTCGGCCGAGCAGCAAGAAAAAAGACACAGCAGCACAATAGAGGCTCAATCTAACTGTAACAATGTCGTCTAGGGAAGGATAATATGTTTTCTACCTTCCGACTTTAAATTAAGATTAGATATGTTCAGAATGTTATGATCAAATTCTTCATCAACGTTTCTCATCCATTCTAATATAGTTTTCTTCACCTTTGTGATATACATTGGCAAAGATAAAATAATTGAAAAGGCGTCATTCCATGGAAAAGGCGTCATTTTGATAGAAGTACGGCAAACCTTGATCCTCATAGTCTGATTTAAAGTCAAGAATGGTGCCAAGTAGCAAAAGAATTGTCTTAAATTTTTGAAGAATTTTTGCTTACATTTCAAATTTATATTATCATTATAAGTCGTGTCCAACTGATATATATATATATATATATATATATATATATATATATATATATATATATATATATATATATATATATATATATATATATATATATATATATATATATATATATATATATATATATATATATATATATGTGTGTGTGTGTGTGTGTGTGTGTGTGTGTGTGTGTGTGTGTGTGCGTGTGTGTGTGTGTGTGTCTGGGGGGCGGAGGGGTAAGGTGGAGAGAGAGAGAGAGAGAGATTAAGTCAAAATGTGACTTGCTCTTTTGTATCCAATCTTGGACAATGAGAAAACTTTAAGGTATAGTTATCTTAAATACAAGATGAGATATTTAATCAAGTAAATGGAATATGAAGGTTCCTGAGGACATGGAGACAGACAGAAAAAAGGTGCAATGGCTGTAGTTGCTTCCAATACAACACCTTAATTTGCAAACATCCAAGCTATACTTTTCAAATACATAACTCATAAAAACAAAAAGAAACATTCTGTTATCTTACCTCTTCTGCTGTCCACGCTGTCTGACCACCAGGCTCGTAGATAATCCTGACCAGCAACATCATCTTCCGTGCAAATTTGGCCTTAAAGTAAGCGTTAGCAATCATCATATATCTTCCCGTATAAGCATCTTTATCATTGACAAGGTTATATAATATTAATTATCTTTATAAATGGAACATTAATCTATACTGCCTTTGCTTAAATGAAAAATGCAAAAATCAGAAAGTGTCTTCAAGAGAAAGAAAGAATGAACAAGGAAACCTGTTATGTTATTACATGAGTCTATTAAACGAACAAAATAATAATAATGGTTCGCATGAAGTATGCGTTGGATTGACGCTTGAAAGGATATGTAAATTAACACTAGCAATATGCATGGTACATTATTATTTTGTTTTATCAAACTAAATTTATATGGGAATATTATCTAGACAAGTACCTGCCAGTTTAAAGATTTTTGCAAATCGATTAGAAAATTTATCTTGGAACTTAAAATGACGTGTAATACCTTCATAGTTAGGTGTAAACTGTGAATTTTGCGTCATATATAAAGACAACAAAGGTGGAAGGGGCGCAGACTGTATAAATTATGCATTTTTGGCAAAAATTAAGTAATCTAACTGTACTAGCATTATGCGACTATTTAAAATATTCAATGATTGTGTGTCACATAAAAATATGTGTCAATCTATTTGTGAAGAACACATAAACGCGTATTTTCTAATGATATTTGCAATAGATGTAGTGAATGACTTGGATAGCGAGCGAGAGAGAGAGAGAGAGAGAGAGAGAGAGAGAGAGAGAGAGAGTCTAGCCTATTCACGTCTTGGATTAAGTACCTAAAAGTCGATTACTCTAACAATATAATCCTGCAAGCTTGGATGAAATAATAATAATAATAATAATAATAATAATAATAATAATAATAATAATAATAATAATAATAATAATAATAATAAAAATAATAATAATAATACAACTACGACTACTATCAATAATAATAATAATAATAATAATAATAATAATAATAATAATAATAATAATAATAATAATAATAATAATAATAATAATAATAATATATTTTACTTACATGGACCAAGTCTTGTAGAAAATTAACAATATGTTATAGAGTTATCAAAGTTTGAATTTTCTAGTCAAAAACAGACTTATTGATTGGAATATTACAAAGGTCTCATTAAATCAAATGTACCGACAAGGATTTAAATGGCAAAGGGCTCATAAAAACACCTCTTCCTTTTTAACTTTCGAAATTATGCTGTTCGTTTATGCTAATGTAGCACACGATTAAAATGGCAAAGAACATGCAGTAAGCTAGTTTCTATTTAGCTGTCTCCTGTCTGGCAACTGCAGAGTTATGACTAGTTTGAAAAAAAAATGCACCTTATTTTCTTTTCATAAATGTATATAATTTACAACAATGCACGGTGTGTTATCCAACATAACGTAAATTACGTGAATAATGTAAATGGCAGAAACGAATAATCATCTATGTGCATTTGTATCGATTTGCTAAATATGGTATAAACTGATAAATAAATAAATAAATAAATAAATAAATAAATAAATAAATAAATAAATAAATAAATAAATAAATAAACACTGACTCCTTTACAAATCTTGTCTTATTTTCTCACAAAGAATTATATAATTTACAATACGATGTTTATACGTACCATAAAGTAAGAAAAATTGGTAGAAACATATAATTCCAAAGACGTATATTCCTGAATGCATATCTATACTCTCTGCTCGAACAAGAGTCGTTATGTATCTGCCTTTCCTTATACGAAGTTGCAAACGTCATAAAATCTATTTACCGTCTCCTGAGCGGGCAACACATTACTTCTTCATTTCTGTAGCTATTTCAGTATTTATTTATTTATTTTTTTCACTCTGAGGAAGATAGAAACTGGCAAAATATAGTGGTTAACCTAGGAGTGTTAATATGTGCGTTCAAATTGAGAGCGTTAATATGTGCGTTCAAATTGAGATGCAGATTAGGAGTCTTTGTGCTACTCAGGGCGTGTTACAATATTGATCTAATCGCAACAGTCTGCAAATTAGAATACCCAACACGTTTCGGGTTAAAAGCATTTATGTTATTTCTATTCAGAAATCTCAATTTATTTTTGAATTCCATGCACATTTAGCTGAGCTTATAAAACATCTTTTTTAGGTTCGGATAAGAAGATAAGTATTTTATATGAGCATCTTAGCGCGGTCTATCATTTTCATATTTGAGGTGCTGCTAAAAGGAGAAAAGGTCAACTGTTACTCACTTGCATAAAACATTATGGTATGGTGATGATAGAAAGAGCTCAATAAATCTTATTGACCCACGTAAATCTGTAGAAACATCAATAGCGACTAATGTCATGCTTCCTCTCCTGCCATGAATGGGAGTAATCGCGCTTACGAACAGGATACTTTACATTTCTACCTGGTTTTAGGGGACAGGTACGATCAGTTAATTAAATGTTGATACATTCTGTTTAAATTTTTTCTATGAGCTTCTATGTAGATAACAACTAATCTAGTATGGAAATTACGTTTCAGCACTTGCATGGATCTAAACCTTATATAAAAGAGATGTGACCATATATGGCTGATCCGACCACGTGATATATTAAGACTATTTACGTCATGACTGATACATCATGGAACTGTGTGTGCGATAAGTATACAAATCCTGTGATAATAGCAATACAAATAATATGTCTATTTTTGTTTTTAATTTCCATGCAAATTTAATTAAAAGAGCAAACTGAACATAATGACAGCGCCATACCGTGTTTATAAAATGAGAAACGCAGGATTTATAATTCTTTTTTTTCTCCATTTTTTTCATATAATAAATATATCGTTGGTTAAGCAAAACACAAATAAAGTAAACAAATCACTGGGCAATCCACATATAGTTTAAAAATCAAAGGAAAACAAAAGGAAGGGAATGAAAAGAAGAGAATTGATCAACAGGCTGCAAATTCGCAGTGATAATGTATGAAGAAATAGTATCTAATTAAGCATTTATATTCATAGGAAGAATATCATTTAAGAAGCAATAATCGTTTGTTAGTTAACGTTCCTAACTGACCAATCTGCGATCTCACCTATCAATCAAATATTGAAACTTTGGCTTCTTAAAACTAACACTGGACTATCACACGTGACAGGAAGCCATCGAATGTTAATGTCACTGTAACCTTCGTTAAAATAGGTCCGTTTTTCTTAGTTTTAGTAGCACCTTCGATTTATTATTGACTGTAACATTCCGATAAAATGAAAACTAGTTGCCTTTATCCAAGTTCACGCTCCTGCAAAAACGATTTGGGCTGGCCCGGGTGGGTATCGAACACTCAGCCCTTCGATTACAAGTCCACAGCTCTACCATCTGAGCTACCGCGATTCCCTAAGGATGAAGGATGGGTCACTTGAAGGTGAGAGTTGTCTCATCTGTCATTGTTTGTAGGCTTGCACACAAAGTGTAACGTGTTAATTGATGAATTAATTGCAAACCCAATTAGATTTATGCCAACGATACCCGCATAGTAAGTGTTTTCTTATTATTTTCAGCTTTCAGAGAGTTCGAAAATCACTATGCATCATTACGGATAGTTGAGACCAATATCTATATCGCATATGAGATGGAAAGGCAAAATCGTATTCTCAATTGGTAGTCATCGCATGCTGCGTTATCAAAGTTACCATCTTGGATGTATTTATATTTATCGGAAGACATAGTGAATGCGCATCTAATTTGTGAAACAATGAATACAGGGGGACTCCAACGAACGTTGCTGGGCCTTAGATTCGAAAATCGGCAACTATTCATTTGCTATAACCTCTTTCAAACGTTTTCAGCAAATAACTCTCGTCATCAAAAGAAAAACGTTAACTGATGCAAAAGACAAAAGACAAAAATCATAATGTGTAATCTACAGTCCTTTTTTGTGTTGGTTTCATGCATTTTGAATGTTAATGGGCACATGGGAAAATGTTATCTATTAATTTTTAAATATTTATTCTATAGGTGAGAGGGATATGTTTAATGTGATACAGTTATCTCATTAATCGAGTCGTTTCGCAATACCATAATCTTACGGAAATATCTTTCCTAGGAGCCTTTAGAATCATATTCTTGAAGACGTATTCCGTCTACCTCCCCCCACTATTTTAGCACACATAGGATGCGTCAAGATGGTCTCTATATTGATATAAGGACATGAGGTGGTACATCAGCGGTGAGATATCCTACATGCAAACATCAATAAGAACTTGTGTGCGGAATTCGAGCCTTCCAAACTATTTGACGACAAGACCCATTATGGAAGGGCTTCGATGCAAAGCCCACGGGTGGTGACCACTGGGCTTACCACCCACCCACCCACCCCCAAAAATGTGCTTAAGTAGCTTAGCACCAGATGATTTAAAAAGCGATGGTCTTAAGGTGGACCTAGACTATCAGGATGAGCTTCACGAGGCTACCCTTTAACACATGACGTTTCCACAAAAGGTCTTCCAACCAGCACGGTTTGGAAACAAGCTGAGATTTAGTTACATTGGATGTATGAAACTTGCATATAATTTTCTAAATAGAAGGCGGTTCTGCATTGGTTATGACATGAGGGTCACTACAGTTTGACCAGAGCCCGTGAATGATATCCTATATCAAAAAGAACACGAACTTGCTTACTAAGGTCAAGAAATGAATTAGCAAGGATCATTTCCAGCAGCTTTTTAATTCTGTCTTTAGTATGACCACAGGAAATCTACGAAAGCGCATCCATTGCGATCTGCTCCAACCAGAGGGACAAGGTGACCAACATCCAGGCCTTTTTTTGCCGACCCAGCTTTGAACCTCAAGATATTTGGGAATAATCTCAAATCCAGACTGAATTTTAACCGTCCATCAATGCATGCCAAAAGAGGATTCTATCAATCACATAATTTCATGTGTGAAGTTTGTTTACAATGACCATGTAATGAATTATGAGAGAGAGAGAGAGAGAGAGAGAGAGAGAGAGAGAGAGAGAGAGAGAGAGAGAGAGAGAGAGAGAGAGAGAGAGAGAGAGAGAGAGAGTTTACTTTAAGTTCTGGATAATGGCCAATAAAATTACGAAATTAATAAATTCATCCAGAAATTCCAACTCCTGAACATTCAAAATATATTATGTTGTAAACACCACTAGATCCGCCAGACATGAGGATATTATTTAACTTCAATTAAAAAAAAAAAACTATTTCATCAGTTAGCCTCATTCAACTAATGAAACAAGAAAACAATAAAATCTTGATTGTTTTATACAATAAAAAATAGATCGAACTATATTGTATTGAATTCAACACTTTTAGGAGGGGTTGAATAATAGGTCATGAGTTTATCATGAGAGCAATAACCCCAGGGTCAATAGAGTGAATGCGAATATACAAGTTCAAACGAAAATAAAGGGGGGGGCTGAAAGACCAAGTGGTCCAAATAGCTCTTCGTTCTGGATCACTGCCATCTCTTCTCTGTCAGAAGTGTGTTTGATTCTCAGGCTCGGCTAACGTGGGTACGTCAGAAAGCTTGCCAGTAGCTTCTTGTGAGTCGGTGGTTCTTTCCGGGGCTCTCCAGGGTTCTCCCTCCACCAGTTATACTGGCCGCCATGCATAGCCTATCTTGTGCTAAAAATAGTGTTAAACCCTACCAAAACAACAATAAGCAATTAAAGTGTGCTACATTTGGTTTTGTTTAAAAGAATAACGGACAAGATCAACACAAATAAATACCAATTCTTCTGAAAAGATTCAGATTTAAGATTATATTTAATGGTGATAAATATTGTTCTTTTTTAAATACCACCAATACTGATAAGAAATAATCATTTGTGTTATATGTTGTCTTTTTTATAAAAAAAAAAAGCATGTGTGTGATAAAACTAGGTACTTGATGAGGGTAAGTTGTATTCGAATAAATTTCAGATCTTTTATTCATTAAAATAGTCTACAATTATTCAAAAAAGATCAGAGTAAGACCTTAAATAACACATGGTAGCTCGGTATGTGAAGCAGCAAAATTCAACATATTTCTAAAATCATTCCTATATTTGAAAGAATATTGAAAATACTGAAATACTGAAAAATAATTGCTGAAAATATAAATACCTCTCAGCCGTATTCCTTGTTTAATTCACAGTAGCACATAAATACGGGATTAAATATATAAAATGTTGTATTAAATATTATTATTTCCTTATATATGACCTACACAAAACAAATAGTATTTTGACCCTTTGATCCCACTGGTAGGGATAAATTACGTGAGAAAATGAAAATAAGATATATTGAATTAAAAGAACGCTATCTTATCAGCCTACCAATACACTACATATGAATGAGAGAAAAATGGTTTCTTTTGGAAGGACCTATATAAGTTGATTGGAAAACATGCGGAAAAAAAAACGACAATATAAATAAATGTTACGTTGACAGTGTTGGTTATTTTGTCGATATTCTTTTGAGGGTTTGGTGACATTTAATCCCACGACAATTAATCCCGCGACAGTTAATGCCTGACACTTTATCCCATCGACTGATAGTCCCGCTGACACATTATATGCTCCCAGATAGGCTAAGGTCAAAAACAATTAACACCAACAGTAATCCATCAAATAAATAATAAGCTTATACGCTATATGCTCACAGATACACCCTCCCGTGGATATGTAAAATAAGAAAAATAAAATAAATATATTTAACACAATTTAATAAAAGGTAATCAGAAGTACGAAATTTAAATGTAAAGTGAAATAGAGAAATAAAAGTTAAATGTGTGACAGGTAAACAATGGCACGCAGATAGACAAGAACTTCGCTCGAAGAGTAACGTTCGACAGCATTTTTGACACGCGTCTTCTGCGTCTGGTATCTCTTGGGGACAGACGGCTGCGAACCAGCGATTCCTTGAAGAATACCAAAAGCGATCTTATCAGCCATAGGCTATTTTTTTTGTAGACTCTACACTGATATTACTAATAATATTAATATTATTATTCAATTAATACTATTACAAGTGAGTTAGCCAAGAAACTCTCTGGCTTATATAGTGGGAGTTATTGTGGTTTTCTTAATTTCTTAATTTCAGCCAATTCAGCCAATCCGGTCCATGCTAGTTCTCGAAAGACCAAAATTATTCATGCGATCATACTATGGTATAAGCTTATTATTTATTTGGTTTGGTGACATTTAATCCCACGACAATTAATCCCGCGACAGCTAATCATGCATATAATGTGTCAGCGGGACTAACTGTCGCGGGATTAAGTGTCAGGCATTAACTGTCGCGGGATTAATTGTTGTGGGATTAAATATCCGTACACCCATTAGAGTTAGAAAAGCAAACTAAAAAGGGGATAATATTTTATACAAGAGTTCAAGAGAAATCTTTAAAGACATAAACTGTTTAAAAATAGTCTTTAGCTAAATAATGAAACCATGTTTTAGCTTAAAAATTAACGATGAATAAAAGCCTAAGTAGTGGAAATGTTGAACAGAAATTTAAGGACAAGAATGTTCATCTAAAAAGAAAACAAACAAATGTGTCAACGTTTTACAGAAGCTAACTTAAGGATATAAATAACACCCACCACTGGTCAAAAGATATGAGTCTATTTGAAATATTCACGGAAAACTTCAAAAGAAAAGTACGGATCAAAATTTTGAGTTATTTAACAACTGATCCTCCGTAAAAGCTTCGGTATCTTAAATGATTTTACCTTATTCTTGTATTTCTAACTGGATGGCATTTGAACTATTTTTATTTCGTTTTCATAAGCTATCATATAGTTTATGGTCCATAGAAAATATTTTCTTTCTTACTCAAGATCAGAAAATCAAACGACCATTAAATGGCTAATAGCCCACTCTTACCTTCTATGCGTCATCATTTATAGGCTAACTCAGTGCCCCACCTTACCTCACCCACCACACGACCTGCCTTTCCGAACCAATTATTTGGAGGCTAACTCATTGACCCACCCAACCTTACCCATCTCACGTCCGGCCTTTCCGAACTAATTCCACCTTAATCACAATTAACTAAAACATACGACATACTTAGGGAGACCCAGAATACCTGACACAGATTTAAATTTAAATTAAATTTACATGTAAAATTTGTGATCACATTTAAATGTCACTAAGTGCATTTCAATGTACACTACATGCATACATGTTCGATTTCAAAACATAATTATTTCACCTTTATATCTTTTTGTAGTGCCCTAGTGTAACGCAAGTAAAATATCTAGAACTAAAGGTATTTCATTAATGGCAAGTTTTTGCTTCCAATTTGAATGTAAAGGCGTGATGAGTAAGCAAAATTTAATTAATCTATACCGTTTGATTTCTCGTTGCTTCATTTGTA